CACGCACACCCTCCCGCCCCCCCGATTTGGGACCCCCCTCACCCTCAGTGGTAGCACCCAGCAGTGCTCTCCTGTCCCCCCTGCAGCCCCGCTCACCCTGGAGGTGAGACCCTCAATCCCATCCTGTTGGGAGCAGCAAAGCGCCTTGGTGCCACATCCCCTGCTGGTTCCCTTAGGACACCCAGCCCAGGCTCTTGTGAGACCCTCAGTCCCATCCTGTTGGGAGCAGCAAAGCGCCTTGGTGCCACATCCCCTGCTGGTTCCCTTAGGACACCCAGCCCAGGCTCTTGCTTGGCTTCTGAGCCACCCCAGCCCTGTTACAGGGTTCACCCCACCTCTGCAAGCCGGCTCCGAGGTGATGAGCCCCGCAGGGACACAGTGGTGACAAGGGAGGGAGGAGCTGGGTGTGCAGGAAAGCACATCCCTGCATCAGCTCTCAACCTGCTTGCTTAAAGGAGCTGGGAGAAGCCAAATGAGCTTCCCAGCAGGCGTAATTTACGAACTTTATGTCCTTTAGCGTACCGCTGTGGTGCCTGTAGTGCTGCTGCCTGGGTTAGGGGTAGAGCCCTGCACAGCTTGTGCTCCCAGGTCCTTCCCTGGGGTTCCTCCAGCATTCTGGGGGGTGGAGATGTAACAGAAGTCTCTCCTGTGCTCTAGGGACCAGGTTTGCAGTGATGGAAGCCTTCAAGCCTCAAAACAACCTGGCCCAGAGGGAGAAACCCGGTGAGTTGTGTTCAGGCATGAGCCCTGTTTCCAGAGGGGCTGGGGGGGACATGGAGGGGATGGGTTTAACCCGGGCTGCTGCCACTCGCTTGCTTCTTCCCAGTGGGATGGGGGGAGAATTCGGGAGGATAACAGTGGGAAAACTCGTGAGTTGAGATAAAACTGGCATAATTGGTGAAGCAAAATGAGCAAAGGCAGCTCAGGAATCTGATCACTGCCTCCATCCCAGCAAAGCTGCTCTGACCCACTCCATGGGGTCACTCATGGGGCTGGGTTTCTTTTCTTTTTAGATGTGGGGCCAGTTTCTGTCACTATCCCAGCCTCCCCCTTCATGCAGAAGCTTGGATACGGCACTGGGGTCAACGTCTACCTGATGAAAAGGTACCTGTGAGAGCACAGAGTGAGGTGGTGCTTGGAAATGGGGCTTGGTGTCCTTTTCCTCTATAAAGATACAATCATAGAACCACAGACTGGTTTGGGTGAGAAGGGACCTTAAAGCTCATCTATTTCCAACCCCTTGCCACATGCAGGGACACTTTGCTACAGCAGGTTGCTCTAAGCCCCGTCCAACTTGGCCTTGAACACTGCCAGGGATGGGGCAGCCACAGCTTCTCTGGGCACCCTGTGCCAAGGCCTCACCACCCTCACAGGGAACAACTTCTTCCTAAGATCTCATCTCAATCTCCCCTCTGTCAGGTTAAAGCCATTCCCCCTCATCCTGTCCCTACAGGCCCTTGTCAAAAGCCCCTCTCCAGCTTTCTTGCTGGCCCTTTTAGGCACTGGAAGCTGCTCCAAGGTCTCCCTGGAGCCTTCTCTTCTCCAGGCTGAACAAGCCCAACTGTCTCAGCCTGTCTCCAGAGCAGAGGTGCTCCAGCCCTCAGAGCATTGACCTCCCATGCTGCCTGCACCCCTTCAACTGGGCATGTTATCACGGAAGGGGGGTGGGACTTACAGCTGTCCCATGTGTGCTGGAGGTGTCAGTGCTGGAAAGGAGCCCATTGTTTTGGGGTAATCCCTTCAGCCTTTCCCCGGAATTGGTGTGCTGGGGGCTATTCCTGGCTCTGCTGTGGCCTGCTGGGCAGCTGCCTCCCTCCTTGAGCCTCTGGTCCTCCAACAGAAAATGAGAATCGATACAAATCTCCTTTTCTAAAACACCTGGAAACTCACTGGAGGAGCTCTGTGGATGGGGCAGGCATTGCACACACCTCTGCAGTGTGCACGTTGGCAGGCTTTCATTTATTTCAGCATTGTTCTTTATTAATTCCACAAAATAAATGCAGATGCTCTCCAAAATAGTTCCTCAATTACCTGTGTGAGCTTCAACCATGGTGCTACTTACCAGTGGGGTGGTTCTGAGCTGTGTGGGTTTTCCCATGCAGATCTCCCAGAGGTTTGTCTCGCTCCCCATGGGCTGTGAAGAAAATCAATTCCAAATGCAACAGCAGCCAGCAAAGCATCTATCAGCAGAGACTGAACGATGAAGCCAAGATCTTGAAGAACCTCCAGCACCCCAACATCGTGGGTGAGTTTCCAGCACAGTTTGTGTTGCTTAAATTGCAATCTGAGCCATTGGAGCTGATTCTGGAGCCGGGTGCTGTGACATGAGGTGGCTGCAGGGTTTCTCTGGGCTCCTTTCATACCGTGGGCTGTGGGTTCTGGACTCCCTGGGCCAGGCCCACTCTGGACCTTTTTAAATTAACATAACCTTGCCTTGTGTGACAGGGACTGCCAGGGCAGTGTGAATGGTGGCAGGATCGTGGAATTATTTAGGTTAGAAAAGACCCTTAAGATGATAGAGTTCAACTGTTAACCAACACTGCCAAGCCGACCACTAACCCATGTCCCTAAGTGCCACATCAACATGTTCTTTAAACCCCTCCAGCGATGGTAACTCCACTACTGCCCTGGGGCAGCCTGTTCCAGTGCTTGACAACCCTTTAGGGAAGAAATTGTTCCTAATATCCAATCTAAACCTCCCCTGGTGCAACTTGAGGCAGTTACCCCTTATCCTATTGCTTGTTACCTGGGAGAAGAGACCAACCCCACCTCGCTACCACCTCCTTTCAGGTAGTTGTAGAATGCAAAGAAGGTCTCCTCTGAGCCTCCTCATCACACTTGTGCTCCAGGCCCTTCACCAGCTCCACTGCCCTTCTCTGGACCTGCTCCAGCAACTCAATAACTCTTTCCAGTGATAAACTGAGCATGACCCAGCAATGTGCTCTTCAGCCCAGAAACCAATCATGTCCTGGGCTACATCACCAGCAGGTCCAGAGTGGGGATTCTCCCCCTGTGCTCCACTCTGGTGAGACCCCGCTTGCAGTACTGTGCAGTTCTGGTGTCCTCAACATAAGAAGGACGCGGAGCTGTTGGAGCAAGTCCAGAGGAGGCCACGAGGACGATCAGGGCCTGGAGCACCTCCCATATGAAGACAGGCTTAGAACACTGGGGATGTTCAGCCTGGAGAAGAGAAGCTGTGTGGAGACCTCAGAGCAGCTTCCAGTGTCTGAAGGGGGCCTGTAAGGATGCTGGAGAGGGACTCTTCATCAGGGACTGTAGTGGTAGGACAAGGGGTAATGGGTTTAAACTTAAACAGGGGAAGTTTAGATTAGATATAAGGAAGAAGTTCTTTACTGTGAGGGTGGTAAGGCACTGGAACAGATTGCCCAGAGAAGGGGTAAGTGCTCCCTCCCTGGCTGTGTTCAACGCCAGATTGGACAGAGCCTTGGGCAACATGGTCTAGGATGAGGCATCCCTGCCCATGGCAGGGGGGTTGGAACTAGATAATCTTAAGGTCCTTTCCAACCCAAACCATTCTATGATTCTTGTAGTTGAGGTTGGCGTTGGTCACCGACAGGTTGGTATCTGGGTGTTTCCTGACAGAAACAGGGTGGGACTCACAAGCTGCTGCTGTGTGCAGGCTGCCCAGGAGCTGAGAGGTGTTTCACTGCCAGCTTTGTGCTGTGGGGCTGCTCCAGCACAGGGAGAGTCCACAGTAACAAGGCAAAGGATGGGCAACCCTTTCATGGTGTCTGGGATGGCTTCCGTGCGTGGAATGAAGCTCTGGGTCCCCCGCTGCTGACATACCTTTGTGAGGTGGCAGTTGAGGCTCTGTCATGCTCTCAGTGGTAGGAATATTTTGAGGAGCTGCTTTAGTCTGTGTTTAATTTCTGCTCTTATCTAAAATCTCTTGTGCCAGTCAGAACAGCTTCCTCCGATTTCATCCTTTTATTTGTTCTTTAAACTATCTTGGTACAGTCAGTTGTGCTAGAAATGTTGCACGCAAGGAATTCTGTATCCCTAAAACAGCACATCTTGCTTCTGCCAGGAATTCAAGAGCAGAGATAGGCTCAGCCTCTCACACTGCAAACACTTCACTGCTGCTTTTGTAAAAGGTGCCGTAAATCACTTATGGAATAACTCTTCAGCAATGCCATTATGCAAGATGTTACCATTTATAACTCCACCCAAAGAGTATTGGTTACGGACAGGAGTAAATCACGGAGGAAGAAAGTTTACATGACCGTGTATTAGTCTTGACCTTGTGAAATGGCCCCTGCGAGATGAGGGCTTGGCTTCCCTTTCCCAAAGGCCCCCCCCCCCAGCCTTTGTCTTGCTCCTGCAGCTCCTTATCTTTGCAAATGGGCATGTTGGTCCTGCAGATGTGCCGCTGCTCTCCTTTCTCCTGGTTCTCCACCCTGCAAAGATCAGGGCATACCTTCCTGCCCTAGGCACAGGGTGCACAGCTGACCTGGGAAGCAAGAAGGGGGATGTCTGTGGGCCCTCCTGGAGGAGGGAGCTCCTTTCTCACGATGAGGTTTGTGGCTCCGGGCTGTGCAGGTCACTGTGGACATTCCTGTGGTTCACCTCACCACATAAAGCTGCGAGCAGATCCCCTGGAGAATGAATTTGTTTGAGATGGGTTGCAGCATCTGGGAATGCACCAGGAAAGCACCTGGGCAGCAGCCCCAAATGCTTTGGCTCCATCGGGCCGGCAAGCATGTGGCAATGCTGGTGCCTGCGTCGGCTCTGTAATAAACGATCTTTGTCGGCAGGTTACCGCGCGTTCACTGAGGCCAACGATGGAAGCATGTGCCTGGCCATGGAATACGGAGGAGAAAAATCGCTCTGTGACTTGATTGAAGAAAGAAGTGCAAAACGGTTGGGCCCTTTCCCTGCTGCCACTATCTTCAAAGTCGCTCTGAGCATGGCGAGGGGGCTGAAGGTATGTTCAGCGTTAATCTCTAGCTGTTCTGTGTGGAATTGTACACACTGGGGACACTGGAAAAATAAAGGGATTCAGTGTGCTGTGCCAGCAGATGGAGAGCAGATGCTTGGTGGTGTTTTTTTCACCAGGGTACTGTACAAGGTGAAAACTGAGCCCTGAGGCTTGAGATGGAAGTAATATAACAAGAGATGCAACAAGAGGTTTTGTCATGGATGTTCTGCTGCCCTCCCTTGGAGCTACCTGCTGTGCCTGCTTGCTAGCCAGGCGAGGAGGTTGCCTGCTGGCTCTTGCATCCTTATTGCCACCCCAAGCAGTTGCAGGGAGCTGGTCTTGGCAGGGAAATTGGTTAACTGATGCTGCCAGCTGGTGCCACTTGTGTCCTTCCTCTCAATGTGCTGCAGCAGCCACGGCATTGAGGTTGTGTTTAGGGGGAAAAGGTGGGGAAATGGGGACTCTAAACCAGAGCATGGCTTCTGAGACTCTCCTGGGCTATGCCAGTGCTCAGGGTAAAGCACAGGTGGCAGGGACAGTCCAAGGAGATGTAGCTCTAAGCTCCCAGGATAACACAGACCTGCACTTGGCCATCAGCTAATGCCTGCGCTTTGAACCCACTCTCAAGGGCTTGTTGCTAGAGATGCTTATCACAGCCTTTCACTAAAACTCAACAGTAAGCCTCCAAAAGTATGCTGGGTGGAAGAAGCTTCTATGTGCCTTGTAAGTGTAAGTAAGTGTTGACCCATCTTTGGGGTTTTAAATACATATTTAAGAAGCTGATGCTTTGCTGTGCAAATCCAATGGCTCTTCCTGCCTCTCCACAGATATAAGTGGGTATTAACAGATTCTCTCTGCCTCTTAGTATCTGCACAATGATAAGAAGTTGCTCCATGGAGATATCAAGTCTTCCAACGTGGTCATTAAAGGTGACTTTGAAGCCATCAAGATCTGTGATGTGGGAGTGTCCCTGCCCCTGGATGAGAACATGACTGGTAGGTTGGGCTGCTGGGAAGTGGATCTGGATGCTTAGTAGTTGCTTGAGGTTGGCTCCAGGAGCAGAGGGAACGCACTTGCCCTCCTCTGTCCATGGAGAGGAGGACTGGCAAGTTGTTCACACCCTGCATGGTGAAGGGGATCTCTGGAAGGTCCAGCTTTAATTTTCCAGACCTGTGACATCCATCTCATGCTCTCCAGCACTTGTACATGGACACAGGATACTGGATCAGGTCCTGCTAGACCTGGCTGAGGAGGTGCTCTTGCCAGAGAGCCAAGTAAATGAATCCTTCTTGTAGGGCTAGAAGGAAGCACAAGCCAAGTGTGAGTGTTATAAAGACTTCATGTAAACGAGAAGCAGATGTCTAATGGCGTCGTGGCTTGGCTGTGAGCAGCGGGAATGTGTTTGGGTTAATTACAAGAATGCTTTTCTCTGCCGCTTTACACAGCGCTTGGGCCTGCGACAGCCTCATAATTTATAAAGCTGCCCCATTACATTTTTATTAGTAGCTCTTCCCTTTCATAAGGAGTGAGAGAGCTGGAGGCAGCGCCCCAGCATAATCTCCTGGAGAGGAGTGTGGCTCAAGGATCAGTTTTGGGGCTGGTTGAACAGGAAGAAGTCCTCTCCACCCAGCCCCGATTTTGGCTTTGCCTTCTCATGGTCTGGAGGAGACAGCAGGCACCCGACAACAGCGAAGGGGCTGGTCCTTGCCAAGGATTAAAGCACAACAGCCCCTGAAGCATTGAGGGATTTGGGCATTTGCTTGTTGTTACAGGCCAGGCTTTGACAACCAGCCCCATGAGACAAAAGCTTCTTAAACAGTTTGAGATTGCCAATAGCTTGGGAGAGTGGGGAGAAATGTGGGACCTCCTCTTTGGAACAGGGCATGAGGGATCAGGTAAGAGCTAGTGCTGCCTCCGTCAGGCTAAGAGCTGATTACTTCAGCTCTCCTGAGGCGAATTAAGATCAAGAAGGCATCAAATTGAACAGAGTGATGAGAACTAGAGAAAACCGCATCCAGCTCTGGGGCCCCAACATAAGAAGGATGCAGAGCTGTTGGAGCAAGTCCAGAGGAGGCCACGAAGATGCTCCAAGGGCTGGAGCAGCTCTGCTATGGAGACGGGCTAAGAGAGGCTTTTAACAAGGGCCTGCAGGGACAGGACGAGGGAGAATGGCTTTAAACTGACAGAGGGGAGACTGAGAGGAGATCTTAGGAAGAAGTTGTTCCCTGTGAGGGTGGTGAGGCCCTGGCAGATTTTTTTTTGGCAGAGGTTGCCCAAAGAAGCGGGGGCTTCCCCATCCCTGGCAGTGTTCAAGGCCAGGTTGGACGGGGCTTGGAGCAACCTGTTCTAGTGGAAGGTGTCCATGCCTGTGGCTGGGGGTTGGAACAAAATGGTCTTTAAGGTCCTTTCAACCCAAACCGGTCTGGGATCCTATAAGATAAAATAATGATAAGATAAAGATAAAATAAGATGATGGCTTGGTTCTTCTCTGCATGGCCTCAGACCTCATGGAGGTTTCTCTGCAGCCCCCAGCGTGTGTTGCTGAGCCTGAGAAAAGAAACATGAGCCCCACTGAGTCTGGCACTTCTGCAGAGCAAGATGCAGGTCATGGGGGATTTGAGACTATGCACATGTGAAAGAAAAATAGGTTCAGGCCCACAAAAGATCCTGCCCTGTGGCCTTGGCACACCTGAGCTAATAACTGACAGGCTAACTCCCTGCTGTGTGTTGAGCTGTGACTGCATCTCAGTGTTTGTGAGTCCCAGCAGGACTCAAGCCATGTCTTTTCCTTTCAGTGAGTGACCCTGACATGCAGTACATTGGCACTGAGCCCTGGAAGCCCAAGGAAGCTCTGCATGACGATGGCATCATCACCGACAAGGCTGACATCTTCCCTTTTGGGCTGACTCTCTGGGAAATGATGACCCTCTCTGTGCCCCACCTCAACTTGGGTGATGAGCCTGATGACGGAGGTTTGTTTCCATATCTTGCCGGTGAGCAAGTTTTGCTCCTAGAAATGCTTTCCTGTCTTAGGAGGATTGATACCCCCACAGTGCTGGGTCTCCCTCAGGTGCCATCTGAAGGGCTTTGAAGTCATCTGCCTGCACTGGCTTCATCTCCCAATGCTGGGGAGCTCACTGAGGAGTTTGCTGCAGCACAGAGGTGCTCAGCACTACCCCAAGGCCACTTTCAACTTCGTTTAGGTTTTTAAATCCAAAAGAGAAGTTGATAAATGATGGTAACTAGTCATTGCAGACCAGCTGCTAGTCTAAGAGCTCACCTTGACCTTCAGCTGCTTGTCAGCACAGAGAGGTAGGCTTCAAAGATGTCCTTGAGCTGAAGGGCTGCTTCCCTGAGAGCCATGCAGCACTCTCAGCCATGCTCTGGCTCCATCCCACATCCATGCAGCACAGAAGGAGTTGGCCAGGCTGTAGCTGTGTGTGGTTGGTGCTGTTGAGATGCCACTAAAATAATGTGGCCAGAAAATATTTAAAATGATGTCATACTTGAAATGATACACAAGATTATTTGAGCCTTTTGGAGCAGAGAAGCTAAACCAAATGTGCTGTGCCATGGCCAGGGTTAGGATTGCAAATACCCTCTTGGCACTGACAAAGCATGGGGGAAGCAGGAAGAGTTACTCTGGGCACCTCCTGTGTGCCTGTGAGGACTGGCCATAGAATTACAGAACCATTCAGGCTGGAAAAGACCTTTAAGCTCGCTGAGTTCAACCACTAACCCAGCTTTGCCAGGCCCACCGCTAAACCATGTCCACAAGTGCCACATCTACACATCTTTTAAATACTCCCAGGGATGGCAACTCCACCACTGCCCTGGACAGCCTGTTCCAGTGCTTGACAACCGTTTAGGGAAGGAATTTTGCCTCATATCCAGTCTAAACTTCCTGTGGTATAATGTGAGGCCATTCCTTCTTGTCCTATCACTTGTGACTTGGGAGAAGAGACTGACGCCCACCTCGCTACAACCTCCTTTCAGATAGTTTTAGAGAGTGAGAAAGTGTCCCCTAAACCTCCAGTGCTCCAGACTAAACACCCCCAGGTCCCTCAGCTGTTCCTCATCACACTTGTGTTCCAGACCCTTACCAGCTCCATTGCCCTTCTCTGGACCTGCTCCAGCACCTCAATGTCTTTCTTGTAGAGAAGGGCCCAGAACTGAACACAGGATTCAAGGTACAGCCTCACGAGTGCCCAGTGCAGGGGGATGAGCACTGCCCTGGCCCTGCTCGCCACACTATCGCTGACACAGGCCAGGATGCTACTGGCCTTCTTGGTCACACCCCTGTTCAGAGTTACATGGAGCAGACAGTGCAGGGGGGAGCAGATGGGATGGGCAGAGGGTGCTACTGTTACAGTCTGGGGATAAGGTTGTGCCCTGGAGCACCACAAAACTAAAAATCTTACAGGCTGTGCTGGGAAAGCTCCTCTTGCCAGAACCTTCACCCTGGCATGGCCCACAGGCTGGCTTGCGTTGTCTAACTCCACCTCCAGGCTGCACAGCTTTTTCCCAGCCAGCTCTGCAGGGGTGACTCAGTTATTCTGCTGGGAGAGAGGGGGTAGATACAGCTCAAAATATGGAATTTAAACCAAACAAAAAGTAATGATGTATCCCAGGCAGTAATTAGTGCTAACAGGAATAGCAAAGCTGACATGAAGGTCACATCCTACTGCATACCGGCAAGGCAGGACTTGGGGATACTGGCGGATGGGGAAAGCTACACAGAACCTGGCAGTGTGACCCGTTCACCTAGGTGTAAGCACAGAAACCAACCATGTCCTGGGCTGCATCACCAGCAGGTTGAGGGAGGGGATTCTCCCCCTCTGCTCTGCTGAGACACCCCCTGCATAAGAAGGATGTGGAGCTGTTGGAGTGAGTCCAGAGGAAGCCACAAAGATGCCCCAAGGGCTGGAGCACCTCTGCTATGGAGACAGGCTGAGAGAGCTGGGCTTATTCAGCCTGGAGAAGGCTCTAAGGAGATCTTAGAGCAGCTTCCAGTGCCTCAAGGGGCCAGCAAGAAAGCTGGAGAGGGGCTTTTCACAAGGGCCTGTAGGAACAGGACAAGGGGGAATAGCTTTAATCTGACAGAGGAGAGACTGAGATGAGATCTTAGGAAGAAGCTTTTCCCTGTGAGGTTGGTGAGGCCCTGGCACAGGTTGCCCAGAGAAGGTGTGGCTGCTCCATCCCTGGCAGTGTTCAAGGCCAGGTTGGACAGGGCCTGGAGCAACCTGCTCTAGTGGAAGGTGTCCCTGCCCGTGGAAGGGGGTTGGAAGTAGGTGAGGTTTAAGGTCCCTTCTAACCTTAAACCTTGTGTAAGGGACAAGGGACAGTAAAACCCCATGACTTTGCCACCTTGTTGTCCAGATGAATCTTTTGACGAAGACTCCTTTGACGAGGAAGCATACTACAACGCCCTAGGAACACGTCCAGCCCTCAACATGGATGAACTGGACTCATCCTACCAGCACATGATTGATCTCTTCTCTCTCTGCACCAGTGAGGACCCCAAGAAACGTCCCTCAGCCGCATGCATCGTGGAAGTCCTAGAGGCAACTCTGGCCCAGGGGTAAAAGCATGGGAGCTCGAGCACTCAGGGATTAAGTTAGAAGAGACAGTAAGTCTACTGCAGTGTTTATCCTTCTAGTATGTGAAAACTGCGCTATGTACTTAAAACGAGGGCCTAAACTCATTAAACACTAACGCCTGTTTTAAGGACATCTGAGGCAACTGGGGCTTGCCCTGCTCTTAAAGCAATCCCTTCCCACATGCATTCGGGTCCTAAGTAAGCCACATGCTCTGCCCAGTAGTTTTACTTTAGTTGTGTTACACACGTTTCTAAACCCTTCCCCCTCTCTGCATTGAATTAACAACAGTTCTGTGACTGAGATGTTAATAAATGTATTTTGGTTTATCTCAGGGTGAAAGGGGTGTTTTTTCTCTCAAGGAGTGTGCGTATGACTGATAAGTATGTACAAGCTTTAGAGGGCTCTTGTGTAAAGTATTTGTGCTCCTGAGGTGGGTGGGGGCAGCAGCCCCCAGGTAACAGTATACTACCAAGGGAGAGCAGCTGCCTGCTCAAAAAGGTTTTCTGGCACAATAGGCTGTCACACAGAATCATACCACAGGAAAAGAGGGTGTAAGATAAAACTACATTTCGTACTCCTCTGTGCATAAATCTACCATTTGCTTGTACTGAGGCTCCTACCCCAGACAAAGCCCTTTACCACACAGCGCTCAGAATTACGTACCCACACATTGAGGAGGAAAGAGCCATCTTTATATTAATTAAATCTTTCAACAAAATTAAGTTATTTGTAATAGAATTTAGTTTTAAAAGTAACAAACCCACCTGAAATCCAAGCAATGTTCCACTAAAATCTAACACAACTGTACACAAAGTGACCCTCCCCTTCGCAGGGGAGGAAGAACTAGCGCTCAGCATTTGGCCAGGTAACAACTCTCAAGTGTTACTTTAAGCCACACAAATTCTCTCGGGTGATTTCAACAAACCTCAACTTGAAATCACCAAGTTGAATCAGTTGTTATAAATGAAGTTGTAAACGAGGAAGTTGGGGGTTCGGCAGTATTTCGTGGCAAACAGCTTGCCATCTGGTGTTGGGTCAGAGAAGGCGATTTCCTCAGTGCTCAGGTAGCAGCCGTACATGAACGTGCTCCTGAAAGAGAGAGCAGAGCTATCAGCACATGGCAAACAACCACTGGGAGGTTTTTCCCCCACTCCCTCTGCTGCGGGGAGCTGTTAGTGCTTCACTTTGCTTTCAAACTGCAGATCAGTGCAAGATGCCAGTTTGCTCACAGATTCTGGTGTAATCAGGAGGCAGTTTAAAATGAGGAAGAAGGATAATTTAAGACCAAATACAGGCAGAAAACCCACACAGGCAGTTTTATATGGGAAACCAGAGGTTTTGGTTCAGTATCTTGGAGCTGATCCCAAGTGACATTCACCATGGGAGCGCCAGCACTCTTGGGGGCACTCACAGTCAGAATCATCAAATCCCAAGATGGTTTAGTTTGGAAGGGACCTCAAGGCTCATCCAGTTCCAACCCTCTGCCATGGGCAGGGACCCCTTCCACTAGAACAGGTTGCTCAAAGCCCCGTCCAGCCTGGCAGGTCCTGCAGAGCTGGGAGGCATCATGTCACAGAGGTGGCACATCAAACACTAACCACAGGAGAAAGCAAAGGCTGGACATGGGTTGATGGATTTTCAGAATACTGAGCTCCAGATACACTCATGTATGATGATATATATTAATATATACATACTCAGACTTCATACATCTGTATTTTATACACAGATAGCAAGCAGATACAACACAGAGAAGATACATGCTGCTACAGGCCTTGGATTCCCAAGCTCAGCCCAAAGGCAGCCCATAAAAACTTCCCCTCATTAGTAAGCCTTCCTCCCAGTGTGCTCTGAGATTGAAAAGCTCAGAATTTCCTGCCTGGAAAAAACATCAAGTGTTTGGGCCCATCAAATTATCCAGCAAAAAAAATCGAAATATATTTCCCCCCCAACAAGCAGTGTTTCTTGGAAAGCAGTCTGTGTAGCTCTGCTTTCTGCTTGTACCCAGCAGTTAACAGCTTGGTCCATGCTTGTGTCAGATTTTAAATCATTTAAATATCAGATATACATGGAAATCTGTCCACATAACATCCTTCCACTGCAAAGTGCAGATTCCAGACTTGCTCAGTGATACACATTTCTCCCTTTCCATAAGTTCTTTCTCAACACATTTTGCTGCGGTCATCACTTTTCCCTCTGCACGGATAAACCCCAGCCAGGATCCTGGCTCCCTGCTGCCTCATACCTGACCACGTCCACCATGCGCCGGGCGATGCCCTTCCCACGCCTGGGGCCGAACACCCAGATCCTGCTCACACCGCAGATGGCAGGTTCCGGCTCCGTAGAGCAGCACCAAGCCCGCTGTGGCTGCAGGGCATCCTGGCCAGGCGATCCCGGCGTGGGTCCCGGCTCACACAGCACCCGGAAAGCCTGCAGGGATGAGTGGAGGCATCAAACTGATCCTTCCTCATGGATGCATAGACCTTCCCGTGCTCCCAGCCTTGCCTCCTGCTCTCCTGTGAGGCAGGACACCACATACAACTGCACCCAAACCCGGGGCAGACACTCAACACTCGCTGCAGTATCGGCCCTGCAAACCCAACTAACTCTTGCCAACACGCTCCCAGACAAATGCACAGACTTTTCCTTCAGTTCCTTCTTTTTTTATCATTGTTTTATGGGTGACTTTTTGTATTTATTTCCTCTGTTTTATTTTCCCCCCTCCTGTGCTAAGCTAGGATTTCCAGTACACAGCCT